TATTATTATATTGTGCAGTGTGTGTGGAGGAGGGGGAGTTTATGAGGGTGCAGTATGTGTGTGGAGGTTTTTTATGATGGTTTAGTAGTTATGGTGGTTTGGGGGGGGGGGGGTCGTTTTACGTGTGTGTAGTGTGTGTAAGGTGTATTTTTTTCGGATCGTGTAGTGTGTGGTGGATTTTAAAAATGTGTAGTGTGTCGGGGTAGGCATATTAATGTGTGAGGATGTGTAACGTGTACTTCTGTACATAGGTGGAGGGACTACTCTTCCCGTGTGAGGGTATGTGAGTGGTCTTATGTGAGGGACATTCTTGTGAGTGTGTTTGAACGTACGTGTGTGTGTGTATGGACATAATTGATGATTATAGTCTAGTGTGTAATGGTGTTTATAGACAATGATGACATTTGTGATGTTTTAGGGTGTTTTGGCGCAGGGTGTGTGGTGTGTGAGTGTGAACCACTTGAGTGAGGGTGTGTTGTGTGAACCACTTGAGTGAGGTTGTGTGGTGTGCGAGTGAACCAGTTGAGTGAGGGTGTGTGGTGGTGTGTGTGTGAACCACTTGAGTGAGAGTGTGTGGTGTGTGTGTGAACCACTTGAGTGAGGGTGTGTGGTGTGTGTGTGAACCGCTTGAGTGAGGGTGTGTTTGTTTGGGGACACGGGGATTTTGGTGTTTTAAAGAACTCTTGTCGTATTGAACCCCCCCCCCCCCCCCCCCACTGTAATGAACTCTTCCTGTGTGTACTCTCTAAGCCAACTTGCTATACGTGAAAATTGAGACACACAACCATACACATATTGTTTAGCATACACCTATCGACGACATCAACAGTATTCGGTTACATCAATATATCACGTCAAAGTAGGTCAAATACAATGAACGGTTGAGCTGCTTGTTTCCGAGGAAGGGGGAGGGGTGGGGGAGGGGTGGGGGTGGAGACGGAAGCACACCGTACACGTTTCCCAAACAGTAAAAAAATATTTTTTCTTTAGTTAACCATACCTTGATAAGTCAGTCGTTTCTATTGCAAGCAATCAACGCAGTGTTTCTTTCAGACTTTATCTCAGGCGGGGGGGGGGGGGGGGGGGGCGGACTAAATTTTCCGGAAGGAGGGGGTGGCACTAGTAAAAGTATATATTTTCTATATAAATTCTATTTCGTTCGGTGGGGGAGGGGGGGGGGAGTAGATGCCTGGAAGAAACTGAATGAAATTATTCCATTAAGCCGAGTATTTCTTCCTTGCTTACGGTAGTTTTTCCAATAGGTAAATAAAGCTGAAATTAAAACGATAAATTCGAGAGAAAAGTTTTAATACACGTATGAATTATCTTTATTATGCTTTAATTACAAGTGTAGTTTTCGATTAATGAATAAGTTGCATAACTCATTAGTCGTATGCCAGTATAATTCAAGAGAACAGTGACTGCTCATTAATGTTTTAAAAAAAAAATTGGCTGGTTTTGCGTCATAGAGGTGGCCCTAGACTATTACAGCGCCCCATGCCCTAACCCTACCCCCTACCCAACCAACCCTCCCCGTCCCCTACCCTTTCATTAACCGTAGCTTCCTGTCCCCACCCTCGCGTCCCTAACCCCGGGCCTACAAAGGGCGACAACACGAAATTATTTTCCTCTTCAATTTAGAGCAATCAAATCCCGTCCTTATTATTTAGCCGCGGTAAAAGGCGGGCTTTTTGTGTCCGTTTTTTTGCTTTGGATTGTGGGCCTTGTGGGCGCTGGTTTCGTTTCGTTTTGTCCGTCCGGACATCTTAGGGGGTGTGTCAGGGCTTTAACCAATGCTCGGTTTTATCAAAGCAAAACTAGCCTTGACGTGAACCCGTAAACGGGTCATAAAAAATTTTGATTTAAGAACCGCGGGTAGGACGGACGCGTTCTTAAGTTGGTTCACCCAGGTCCATAAGGTGCCCCACTCATCACCTGTGTGGGAGGGTCACCTTCTTAAGTCACCCAGGACCGTACGGTGCCCCACTCATCACCTGTGTGGGAGGGTCACCTTAAGTCACCCAGGCCCATAAGGTGCCCCACTCATCACCTGTGTGGGAGGGTCACCTTCTTAAGTCACCCAGGCCATAAGGTGCCCCACTCATCACCTGTGTGGGAGGGTCACCTTCTTAAGTCACCCAGGCCCATAAGGTGCCCCACTCATCACCTGTGTGGGAGGGTCACCTTCTTAAGTCACCCAGGTCCATAAGGTGCCCCACTCATCACCTGTGTGGGAGGGTCACCTTCTTAAGTCACCCAGGACCGTACGGTGCCCCACTCATCACCTGTGTGGGAGGGTCACCTTAAGTCACCCAGGCCCATAAGGTGCCCCACTCATCACCTGTGTGGGAGGGTCACCTTCTTAAGTCACCCAGGCCATAAGGTGCCCCACTCATCACCTGTGTGGGAGGGTCACCTTAAATCACCCAGGTCCATTGCTCCACTCATCACCTGTGAGGGAGGGTCACCTTCTTAAGTCACCCAGTCCATAAGGTGCCCCACTCATCACCTGTGTGGGAGGGTCACCTTAAGTCACCCAGGCCCATTGCCCCACTCATCACCTGTGTGGGAGGGTCGCCTTCTTAAGTCACCCAGGCCATAAGGTGCTTCACTCATCACCTGTGTGGGAGGGTCGCCTTAAATCACCAAGGCCCATAAGGTGCCCCACTCATCACCTGTGTGGGAGGGTCACCTTAAGTCACCCAGGCCCATTGCCCCACTCATCACCTGTGTGGGAGGGTCACCTTCTTAAGTCACCCAGGCCCATAAGGTGCCCCACTCATCACCTGTGTGGGAGGGTCACCTTAAGTCACCCAGGCCCATTGCCCCACTCATCACCTGTGTGGGAGGGTCACCTTCTTAAGTCACCCAGGCCCATAAGGTGCCCCACTCATCACCTGTGTGGGAGGGTCACCTTAAGTCACCCAGGCCCATAAGGTGCCCCACTCATCACCTGTGTGGGAGGGTCACCTTAAGTCACCCAGGCCCATAAGGTGCCCCACTCATCACCTGTGTGGGAGGGTCACCTTAAGTCACCCAGGCCCATTGCCCCACTCATCACCTGTGTGGGAGGGTCACCTTAAGTCACCCAGGCCCATTGCCCCACTCATCACCTGTGTGGGAGGGTCACCTTCTTAAGTCACCCAGGCCCATAAGGTGCCCCACTCATCACCTGTGTGGGAGGGTCACCTTAAGTCACCCAGGCCCATAAGGTGCCCCACTCATCACCTGTGTGGGAGGGTCACCTTAAGTCACCCAGGCCCATAAGGTGCCCCACTCATCACCTGTGTGGGAGGGTCACCTTAAGTCACCCAGGCCCATTGCCCCACTCATCACCTGTGTGGGAGGGTCACCTTAAGTCACCCAGGCCCATTGCCCCACTCATCACCTGTGTGGGAGGGTCACCTTCTTAAATCACCAAGGCCCATAAGGTGCCCCACTCATCACCTGTGTGGGAGGGTCACCTTAAGTCACCCAGGCCCATTGCCCCACTCATCACCTGTGTGGGAGGGTCACCTTCTTAAGTCACCCAGGCCCATAAGGTGCCCCACTCATCACCTGTGTGGGAGGGTCACCTTAAGTCACCCAGGCCCATAAGGTGTCCGTGTGGGACGGTCAGCTGTGTGGGTACATCACATCTGTTTAGCGTGATTCCCGTAGCAGTTTAGTAGCAGGTTGGTAGGTTTTCCGGTATACCAAACCCGTGGGGGGGGGGGGGTGTTCCAAGGATGCGAACTAAGATAAAACGCAAGGAACCAAGGACCGATGAAAGGCTTTTATACCTCGGGAATGGGGATGGGGAAAGGGAAGAGGCGAGTTAAGAGTTAAGTATTGACGGCGTGTCCGAATTAGAATCAAATAACTGGACACCTTCCGGTCAAACCACAGAGGAAGAAAAATGTAAATGGTTTCCGAATTTATCAAGTGGTTTTGTAGTAGAATATAACTAGTAGAATTTTCTATGCTCACTTTTTTATATTAATATATCTTTGTGGAAAACTTAATTCACCTTTGCTTCATTGATTACTGGTCATTTTCTGCCCCCTCCCACCAGAAAAACAATTAGCTGATTTTTTTTTTAAACCTGATTGTTGATGCATTGACTGTGTACATAATCTATGTAGTAGATTTGGAATAAAAATTTAATGAAAATTGGCATGGTCAAATACCAGATTACATTGTACTTTCTACATAGACTTAAATCATCCTACTACGATGGTTCACAATTTGTATTTGTTGTTATGCAAACAAAGTTCACGTATTTTATATTGGTGGTGAAAATCTGGTTAAGGGAAATGGTAAAAAGGTGTTATGTTTTGTTACAAGAAATGTTATAGAAGTGAGTGTGGATTTTATATTTCAATTTGCACTTTTTAGTTACATCATTAGACTGATATTAAATTGATAGAAAAGTATGGCGAATTTCTGGGCGTAGGTTAAAATCTTCAAAATATTTGTTAAACATTTTATTGTTGTAATACTTCCAGCGTTTAGGGTAATCACAAAAATCTCCAAATTATGTTCATCGTACTAACCAAAAGAGTGATACAGTTTAAATCGAACATTAAAATACAACTATCAGCATTATGAGGGGACACCATACACAAGCATTATGAAGGGGACACAACTGAATGTAAATAATATAAAACATAGCACGAGATTTGACCAAACAAATATAGTCTCGCACAATGTCACTTCCGTTATATTTTTTAAAAGTTAAGGTCAAGTTTAAATTAACGTTGTCCTTAATTTCAGATGTTATTTATTTCCTTGAAATCCACACCAAAAAAAAAATTGTTAAGATTTTGCTAAGTATTGTATTTAAAACTTGGATAAGGATTAGGACTTGAGATAGGTTAGGGTTAGGTATCATGATTAGTGAAAACTGAGTTTACCATTTTTGTGTATCATGTTTAATGGCACCGTATCGTCTTTAAAACAAAATAAATCATGTAATTAACGTGGAATTAGTAATTGAAACGTAATCTCTTTTATTTTAGGTAACCGTGACGTCAAGGTTAAAAACTCCACAATGCGGACCAGCAGAGAAAATCCTGGTGCTTTCTCCGGTGTTGCTGTTGTCGGGCGTCGCTGTGGTCTGGGTGGCGCCGGGCAGGGATGTGGTGTCAATGTGGTGGTGCTGGCGCCGGGCAGACCCGCGGTGAAATTTGAAACAAACAGGAACGTTCTGGAAGAAAGTGGCCGTCTTTGATGAGATCTTACCTGGAGATTTCACCTGTCGTCACCTGAGTCTGCGGCTTGTCGGCGGTTTTCTCTTTGAAATCTAGGACCAAGGTGTGTAGTGTGTGTGGGGTGTGGGTGTGTGCTGTGTGTGGGGGTGTGTTGTTGTGTAGTGTGGGTTGGATGTGGTAGTGTGGTGGTGTGTGAATTGTGGTGCTGCGTGTAGTGTGTGTGGGTTGTGGGTGTGTGTGTGATGTGTGTGGGGTGTGGTTGTGTGTGTAGTGTGTGGGGGTATAGTGGCGTGTGACGTGTGGTAGTTTTTGTAGTGTTTGTGGGTTGTGGGTGTGTGTGAAGTGTGTGGGGTGTGGTTGTGTGTGTAGTGTGTGGGGGTATGGTGGTGTGTGAAGTGTGGTGGTTTGTGTAGTGTGTGGGGAGTGTGGTGGTTTGTGTAGTGTGTGGGGAGTGTGGTGGTTTGTGTAGTGTGTGGGGAATGTGGTGGTTTGTGTAGTGTGTGGGGAGTGTGGTGGTTTGCGTAGAGTGGTGTTATATTTATTGTGTGCATTTTGTGTGGGATGTGGTGTTGTGTGAAGTATGATGGTGTGTGTAGTGTGGGGTGTGGCCTGTTGAACGGGGGTGGGTGTTGATAAACAGAGAATTCTCAGAAATCGCGTGATTATTATCGTAGAAGTAGTTTATTCAAATTAACCATCTTACTTGCTTAACAAGATTTAGATTTCTAAAATTGTTTCAGTTTTCAAAAGTTATGTAAAACAAAATAAATTAAATTAATCGTATATGTACATAAATTAGGTTGATTTTGGAGTGCAAAATCAAATATGAATACTTTACTTCAGCTACGAAAAGTTATAATCACATCCAAGTTGAAACCTACTTTGTGTTACACAAATAGAAAGTTAAATTTGAAGATTCTGTTTTTAAAAATATCTGTACTAAAACTTGATTTATAAGGATCAGTTTGAAGATTGTGTTTTCAACATGTATGAGAGGGCAAAACTTTTACTAAAACTTTGATTAATAAGTATCTATTTTTAGAACGATTATGTATATGAAATGAAATAATTAGCTTTATAGATTCCGTGGGTTGAAAGTACAGGCTATTATACGAAATAGTCTATTTTCCCGTATACATCATTCTTAGAATTAAAGTTTTTTAGACTGATGATAAAGCGTTAAAACAGAACATACATTTTCTTCAAAATTTAATTTTATCTGATTTAAATATGTTAATACTAAGACAAATATTTAAAAAAAATTAAGAAGTTATTATTTATACATTTTATACGCAATATAGGTGTCGAATTTTTCTATTTCATAAATGGTAACCATCTACCCTTGTCTATCCCCAAGATAAAAGACTTGGAATTTTTAATATCTTCATTATAAGATTGACCGTCAACGTAAAAGTGAGAGGTTTATCTCTGTATGGATTATAGCCGTTAATCCTGCCTTTTCACTGAATCTTTTCTTGTGTTAATTTTTTCGTCTAAGATTCCCCCCTACCCTGTCCCCTTGTAGAGAGTATCGTTTACGAAGATGAAATAAGAGTGTGTGATACCAATTTATTTCTTCATCAGCGGCTCGGTATAAAAGTCAGCACTTGGCCGTAGCCCCGGCGCCCCGGCGGTGGGGTCGTGTATGCCGCTTTAAACCCGGGGAGATGGGCAGAGACGTGCGCGCCCCCATTAATGCTAATCTCCCGGTGCCGACTTTTTACGACGCCCCCAGACTGGGGCGTCTGGGTGATGGCCGGAGCGTGAGGCAGGACTGGTGAATAGGTACTAAAACTCTGGACAAACACGAAGTGCTTGGCGCCTGCTCCTAAACCTCTTTGTCTGTAGATTGAGGCTATCGGAAACGTAGTAGAAGAGTGGGGGGTGGGGGTTATGAAGGGTGGGGGGTGAGATTTTAATAGATTAGTCAAAGGCAACAAGTAGAGGTTGAATCGGGAGCGGGGTGTTAAATATTCTAGAGTTTACCTTTGAGAGAGTTGGATGCAAATATTTTTGAGAGATGTTTCTTGGGAATGGATGAAATTTTGGGATATTCAAGGGGTGGGGGTGGGGGTACTATGTGAGACCCGATAGCGAATGTCCGTTGAGGTCACGGCTACACGTCATGTGTTCTCCTGCGTCCGGTCCGGTTTTATGTCCGTTTTAAGACCGCTTGTGGCCGAGTCCTCTTTGAGCAGGCTAATGAGTACAGACCCCGGGGGACCCCCGGGGACCCCCTCCCCCCGGTACATCTGCGAGCCGCGGCCTTATCTAGGGTGAAGCTTTTAGAGCCGCTCGCTGAGGGGAAACGTGGAGAAATTGGTGGGCTGGGAGTATCCGAGGTTTCTTGGAGTAATGAGTGGTGATCTTGGTGAGAGGGTAAGTTAAGGGGGTTGTGGGGGTGGGGTATGTAGGGTGGTCAGTTTAACGGCTGGTTAGGTTACTGGTGGGTGATAAGAAGGGGGTGTATGTAGGGGTGATCTTGGTGAGAGGGGTAAGTTAAGGGGGTTGTGGGGTGGGGTATGTAGGGTGGTCAGTTTAACGGCTGGTTAGGTTAGTGGTGGAAGATAAGAAGGGGGTGTATGTAGGGGTGATCTTGATGTGAGGGATGTTGTGGGAGTGGGAAGGGGGTGTATGTAAGGGTGTTCTTGTTGTGGCAGTTAAGTTTAGGGGATTTTTAAAATGTAGTTATGGGTGTGTAGGGGTGCCCTTGTTGTTAAGACTAGGATAGGAGGGTATGTAGGAGTAGAGTTCGGAGGAAATAGATTGGAGGTTAGGATTGTGAAATCATAAGTAGGTGGCTGTTAGGAGGGGCATGGGTTTATGCGTGGGAGATAACATGTTGTATGTGATGTCGATGGTAGGTAGGCTATGGTGTAATGGATGTAGATGGTGTTTAAGCTGTTGGTAACGTAAAATTGGGTGAGATGTGTTGACTGTGGAATTGCGTAATATAGTGACTGGTATATGAGTGTGGTAAAGTTTAGAATGTAGTGTTTGTAAAAAATGATAGGTTGTAGGATGTTGTTTATTGAGATTGTGAAAGTGGGTTGGCAGGCGTGGGTAATAATTTGTGGTTGGATCATTTTACGCGGGTTTCAATCAGTGGTTGATTGGTATTTGTCTTTACACCGTTGGGTGAGATACATATTAAAGTTATGCTTTACATTTTGGATATACATGCGCAGTTGTCTCCCTGTAATATTACAGCTTCAGGTCGTAATATTAGGATTCTCATACAGCGAACGTGATATGACGGCCATTTTATATCAGAGTTATTGCGCATGTGCATATTTTATCCAACCCTTCCCTATACAATCAGGGATTGGAGAAATAGGATAACTTGAGGATACATTCCAAATTCTTTTATTATATTTTATTGCCGGGAATATTGGAAGAGAAAGTTCGTATTAGCATTCAAAAGTCGGGCTGAGTGCCATCATTACAGGGAGAGTATCCAGACACAATATTTTTATGTCTTAGGCCTAGACGAGTTCTGGAACCTGTTTCTCCATCTTGTGCCCCTGTCAACGTGTCCGAGGGGACGGTTCCAGGTTTGTTGTCCTGCTGGGTTTATGGTCCGTCTTGCAGGCCGGTCATTAAAGTTTGATAAGGTCCGGGAATGTCCGAACCCCCAAGAGGTCAGTCGTGAATTGCCACCTGTCAGTCACTGTCAAAAATACACGGGAATTTGTTTAGGTTTACGATGAATGTGTTTGATTAGTTGTGTTTTAGTGGGTTCTACTTGGTGAAGATTCTCAGTTAGTCTTGTCTGCAAAAGTCGATCTCCACGTTAACCTTCAATCTTGGTATTGGTTTGGTTTGATGTGTTCATGCTCTTCTTGATAAATTTAGTCAATAGAAAAATTATATATATATATATATATATATATATATATATATATATATATATATATATATATATATATATATATATATATATATATATATATATATATATATATATATATATATATATATTATATATTATATATATATATATATATATATATATATATATATATATATATATATATATATATATATATATATATATATATATATATATATATATATATATATATCCTAATGGTCGTATCCAATAAGCTGATTGACATACACGACCTAAATTCAGGGTTAAATGTTAGCCTATTACTAACACTGTCGTAAGTGCATAACAACACAGATTTGGGTGTACCTGTACCCATGCATCATAGACCCAACAACATAACCCAGGCCTCTAATCAATCACCTTATCGTGAAGTTTTTACTTTACAAAAAGAAAGACACATAAGAACAACGATACACTTGTAATAATGTAAAACACTGTAGAGACTTATCCTCCTTTGCCCGATATGTGCTAACAGAAAAAAAAATTAACTAAATATCGAAACAAAATTTAAGTGAAGGAGTTGGGTCCAATATTTTCTGTTTTGTAAAAAAAATACTCCTTTATATCCGGGCTCTGCAACACACTCTAATCCCAGGTGACATAATATCCCCTATTATCCCATTCATCCCGTAATATCCCATACATCCACATTCCTCCCCTAGGGTATATCCGTTACACCCGTGCAACACGTACCCGACCCGTTAAGAAACACGATCACCCCTCGTCTCCACCCGACCTACCCCCGGCCCCACGACTTTCCCACCAACTTGCAAATCCCCAGCCATCCCCGGGACCCACGGGGACTGAGGTACTAGTCCTACCTCCCACAAACTCCCCATAAACCAGAGGATATTCTCTCTAACACACCGACCCCAACTACAGCATAAGCCTATCATATTTAGGAACCTGAAGCCGCGATATGCGAGGTGCATTTAGAAGACGACAGGGTCCATTGTTGCCGGGAGGGCAGGGCTATAAATCAACAAGGTGAGAGATCGGCAAGCGCGATAGATGCGCTCGCCTTGCCTGCAGATCTAACCCTAGCCCTAACTCCAACCACCGTCGAGTTGCCACCACGAAAGGCCCCCACACACGTGATATGGGCCCGGGGCCTTTGTAGGTCCAGTTACATACAACAGGAAGTACGTGATGAAGCTCTCCACGCTTGAGTACTTGTTGCATCTACACATACATACACACGTATATATATATATATATATATATATATATATATATATATATATATATATATATATATATATATATATCGATTCCTTGTGATATGGTACATCTCTATACAAGTAGCTGAAGTAGAGTTAATCTCCCTCCTTAGCCTATGTATATGTCGTGGTACTTCCCCCCCCCCCCCCCAAGTCAAGCCACCCATATTTTCTCAGACTCGCGTCAAGCACTAACTAGTGATAGAGCCAAGACGTGATGGCGCTACCATTCGACCACGCCATCAATAACATTACAGACACAAGAATATCTGAATTAATCTGAATCTAATTTGTCTTTTCTGGCATCCATGGGTGAAAGCTGCACTTAACTGTGCACGGTCTTGGGTGTGTATTTTTGGTGAGGGGTGAGGGGGGGGGGCTGACTCGACAGAGGCACCTGAGCCAAAAGTGTTCTATAAAACCAGGTCCACAAACATGACTTAAGTCACAGTTGACTGGCCATATTATGTGCTCAGCTGTTTTATGACTTTCCTAAATCTAGTTATAATTAACATTATTTTAACAGCTAATTTAAAAAAAAAAAAGTAACGGAATATAACAAACCTACGGAAAATGTTTTCTGTGTCTTTATGAATTGTTTGCTATATTTTCCGAAAGTGCCTATACTGATGACAAATAAATCATAAGAGTTGAAATTATGAGCTTACTAAAATGTATTTCAATATGGGATTTGCTGTAATATGTGTATTTTAGTTTTTTTTAATTTAAGAATTTATTATCGAATTATATATTTCCTCAACTTTTTATTTTACAGTAGTTGTTTTTTTCTCTAGATTTCTTTGATCCGGTGTTTAGACCGTCACACACTCCATGATGAGGAACATGAAAGGGAAACAACAAGAATGGGTCCTGGACAGTCATAAAAATACAGCGCCCTTCTTTTGTATTCTCCCAGCTTTCATGTGCATTGTCTGGATTAAAAATTTTGAAATTCATATTGTGTTGTTTTCTTTTCCTTTTTTTTTTTGGTGCACAAACTATAATTTTATTAAACTACTAATGTTTAGTAGATTTAGTATTATTTTAATAAAGCGTAGATCTAAAGAAAGAACAATTTAAAATTTGTGCATATTTTCTAGTGGACTTCTTGGACGTCCGCCCTCAGCCAGCTTGCCGAACCAGCCTCGGCTTGACCAATCACGAAGACATAAAAACGAAACATTGTAAACATCCTCTCGTCCAGAACTCTTGTTTTTCTCCCCAGAATTCCCTGCTTTTGTCTGCCGTCGTTTCATTGGCCCAGGCGACCAGCCATCATACCAGGCCAAATATTTCATTGGTCACAAAATTTTATATCTCAGCTTTTAGGAGTGTAGGAAAAAAAAAAGGGAACGCGGAATAAAATCCAGGGAAGGTATTAAACCGTAACAAGCGGATAAAAACTTTGACCCGAAAAAAAAAAAAAGAACCGAAAAGAAACATTGATCTCCCACTGCCGGCACAAAGTCCCGTTCTCATCAAATTCCCCGCTTCAAGTCTCCAGCAATTAATTTTTTTTTTATTATTCTCTTCTTCTGCGATTGATATTTTTTTTTTGTTTATTTCCTTGTGCCCGCTGTCTGAATAGATGAAAAATTTTAACGCCCAAACTGGCAAATATTTTTAATGTTTCTAGTCAGAATTTGGTCATCAAAGTGGCCAGGGGCTTTTGTTGGTCGTCCCTCTGATGCCAAACAAAACAATCGACAACTGTTCCAGGTTCGACGCCCAGTCCACCCGCCGGCGCATGCGCATCGCCTCCCAATGCAACATGGGAAAATAAAATTTGTAGGAAATCGGGAATCATAAATTCGAAAGATTTTGGATGCAACCGAAACCATGTTAATTACAAATTCATTTTAAAATAATTATCTAGTATATAAAACGCGCTTGCTGCGCAATTGGAACACCGTTTCAAAACCGTTTCCTAAACATTTATTAGTTTTTTTGTGTTAAAAGTAAAAAATCATTTTTATGAATTGTCGCATTAGAAATGAGATGAAACATGTCGTTTTACAGAAAATTGAAATAAAAATAGAGAATAATCTCTTTCTAATTAGAGGTTTGTGTTAACGCGGGATGCGGTGCCTCTAATTAATACCGCCATTACGTGGACGCGCTTCGCTGATTATTAATCAGTTATAATGAGAATTGGTGGTGTTTTTTTTTTTGTGGCGTTGTGGGAAGAAGTGTAGGTCGCGTTTGTTTATTTCCCACGGGACTTTTTGCTTTGGTCATTTCGTTTGGTCATTTCGTTTGGTCATTTGGGTTTGATCTATAAGGCTAGTGTTTTAATCAAATGATGCTATAACTGGCTGTGTAACCAGGTTTAGCAGTTTGGTGGATGCCGTGAACATAATCTAATATAATGTTCAGCTCGTTGTTTTTACTACCCATCATAGCGTCATGAAGTTAACCTTTTATATTCATGTAATCAGGATAATTGGGACCATATCCTCACACACCCCACATATAAATCCTACCCACCTTAAATCGTTTATACCGAAGTTGTTAATTAATTACCCAGCTAGATTGTACCCATCTCCTGGGTTAGTTAAGTTTATAACTTGCAGAAAAACTGTTTATAATACGTCTTCTGTGAGGTGGATGTTGTGGCTTTAAAACGTCATTCTTTGCGTTATTTTAGATCCAATTTGTGGGGGGTTTTAGAAATAATGAAAACAAAACACGAGCGACTGTGATATCGCAGTAACTCTGTGTGTGTGTGTGTGTGTGTGTGTGTGTGTGTGTGTGTGTGTGTGTGTGTGTGTGTGTGTGTGTGTGTGTGTGTGTATGTGTGTGGTGGGGTTGGGGGTTGGAGGAAATTATGAATATGTGGTAGGGGATAATTATGATGTTACATGTATTTAATATATGTAAAGGGGGATGGAAGAACTGAAATAAGGAACTAATTATGTGGTGTTGGTGATATTTTAGATGTTGTGTCTGTTTGAGTGTGTGTGTGGGGGCGGGTGTGATTGTGATCCTATATATAATAAATATAAGAAGAGGGTTGAGTAAATTAATGTTACGGGGGTGTATTTATATATTATCGCTATTATTTGTTGGTTGTGAAATTATTAACAGACATCGTTGAGATCTGTGACGATTAACTCTCATTTCCAACGTTTGTGAAATTATAGCAATAATATGGCACATATAAGGACATTTAAACACGTATTTTGGAATAATAACTAAACTATATCGTGATATAGACATACTGCTACAGATTGATACGGTATATGTTTTTGTTTATTGAATTTTGTTGAGGTTTAGTGAGGTTTTTAGATGGCAATTGAAGTATTTTTTGTTTAGCTTTAAAAACGCTTGTAGAAGATACATATTATATACGTATAATGTTGTTACTGATTTTCAAAGCGTCTAGTATTAGATACATATATTATACGTATAGTTTGTTTTTGAATTTAAAATCGTCTAGTTTTTTATACATATTATATACGTATAGTTTTGTTACTGATTTTCAAAGCGCCTAGTTTTAGATACATATCATAATTTACGTATAGTTTTGTTACTGAATTTCAAAGCGTCTAGTTGTTATACTCCTTAGCTTTACTAGAGAGATTATTAGCAGTAGAAACAACAATACCACTAACACATGAGATAAGCAATTTGTTTGTTAGTTAATCGATTTAAATACTTTATTAGTTACATTTTGAACGAATATATCATAGAAAGACGACTGGGTTAAAAATGTATCAGGAGAAATTTGTTTCCTTTCATGTGCGGCGAGGATTTAAGGTTTTTGATTGCTTGTGTGAGATTAAAGTTTTTGATTTTCTTGATACTTTGATCAGTGGTGGGGATCTAATGGGGCGTAGAGAATCACTAGACATCTGTTGTGGTGGGTTGATTCGTGTGGCATGGGATGGTGGGGACGGGGTGGGTTGGTGGGGATGGGATTGGTTCGAAGGGAGGGGTGGGTTTGTGGGGAGGGGTGGGTTTTTGGGAAGGGGTGGGTTGGTGGGGAGGGGTGGGTAGGTGGGGATAGGTTTGCAGGGAGGTGGTGGGTTTGTGGGGATGGTGATGGGTTTGTGGGGAGGGGTGGGTTTGTGGGGATGGTGATGGGTTTGTGGGAAGGGAGACGGGTTGGTGGGGAGGGGATGGGATGGGTTTGTGGGAAGGGAATGTGTTAGTGGGTAGTGGGATATGTTGGTGGGGAGTTTTGGATAAGTTAAAACACATGAAAACGTAGTGAATATATGGGTTGGTGGAGATAAAAACCAAATTTAAAAAACGGCAAGAATGGCTTTTATTACAGATGAAACGGTCAAAATAAGAACACTAAACTTTCACATAGTCTTTACGTAGGTGACTAGCAAGATGCATACGGACATTTGATATAAAATTCAAAATATATCATCGCAAGACTTATATACGCGAGATATAAACTTAATAATTACAAAGAAATATATTTAAATATATGAGGTATAAATACAAGACATCGGAAAAAATATATAAAGATGACAGATATAAAGAAAATAATTATAGAAAAGGCATGTATAAAGATGAGTTATGCAAATAAAAGGTATATAAACAAGGTAAAAAAATGGGAGAGATTTAAGAATAGCAACCGACCAAGCTAAAGGAATAAACTTATTTAAACAAAAAAAAAAATCAATGTTCACACACAAACAGAAAACTCGATTGTTTTCTTTTGATGTCATCGATCTGTCTTGTCATGTGACGTAACACGTGACTTAATGTGACGATGTGCGTGTCACAGTGTTGGTTCGCTGGGTATAATAGAAAGGCCACACAATCATAACCCACACCACCCCACACCACTTTTCTCTGCCAACACATACACATACACACATACACAAACTCACACATACAAATAAACTGTAAGATGAAAGAAACACTAGATATTAAAATCATAACTAGCTATAGCTCAAAAACAAATTTTACTTAATGTAAATATGTATTGTTTATTTTTATTTAAAACCACGAACATTCATTTTCTTGTACTTTTATTTTTTTCCGTAATTTTTCTCTAAATCTACTATTGTAAAAGTTCGTACTGTAATTAATTTTTTTATTTTTACATTTATTCCTGCGAATTAGTAATATAATTTTTTTTCTAGATTCAATACTTTAACTGGCATTGAGTTAATTGCGTCAAAAAAAAAACAACACAGTCAACAAACTACTATGAGAACTAGGATCATATATTTTAATTTACATTATCGTCGCTCACACTAGAGTTTACGGTTCAATTGTAAAAAATAAGTAATAAAACATTAAGTTCAACATTTTCTTAACTCAATTTTAGTCTGAATATCACTCGGTAGGTCGATATTTCTTAAACTCAAAAAAGCGTGAGTTGAAATCTCAATTTAAAACAGATTTCTGGTTAGATTTGTAAAAATATCGAATAAACAATCTAGTTGTGAGATCTGAACTGGATCATATTTCTGATGGCAACTGGTCAGGCGTGCTATCGATTTGGCCATACCTACACATAAGGGATGTAGATTGTAGATGTTCATTGAACCTGAATGTTGGTGGTAAAGGTTGCAGGCAGTGTTTCTTCCAGACTTTTTTCTCCGGGGTGCACTGGAAATGTTCGGGGGTGTGTGGGGGGTTGGACAACAATTTCCGGGAGAGGGGGGGGGGCGGACACTGTCGAAAGTATATATTTTCTATATAAATTCCATTTCATATAGATGCCTGGAAGAAACTCTGGTTGCAGGTGAAGGTTGGAGATGTAGGTTGGAGGTGTAGGTTGGGGAGTTGGGGGTGTAGGTTGGAGATGTAGGTTGGAGATGTAGGTTGGAGATGTAGGTTGGAGATGTAGGTTGGAGATGTAGGTTGGAGATGTAGGTTGGAGATGTAGGTTAGAAATGTAGGTTGGAGATGTAGGTTGGAGATGTAGGTTGGAGATGTAGGTTGGAGATGTAGGTTGGAGATG